TTTTTATTATTTATCAAAAGACATCGGCGACAACGGCCATTAGTCGTAAACGTTACATTGATTACATTTTTTTTTTTAAGTATTTTAAATATGATATTTTAAATTAAATTGTACAAYTCATATTTTCTTAAAAAAGTCAAGATTTGGATAGTGTGGTAGTGTGGAGTCTGCATTTGGACCGAGAGCTGCGTCTAAAGTGGTTGGGATGTTCAGCTGAATGAGTACATCTGTGTATTGACGGCATTCTATGAGGATATGTTGGACTGTTAGTTCGGTTTTCTTGAYCTGCCTTTTCATTGCCCTCTATGTCACTGTAGGTGTGTTACCCTTGGCRCCCCAAGGTCGAAATTTCGACTTGAAAACTTTTTGGTATTATGTAATTTATTATGTAACATAGGCGCCCGCAGGAATTTTTCTAGGAGGGGGCAATGTTAGGATTTGAGGATAAATATTATCATTTTACTAGGTGTTTTAAAATAATAACCTTTTTTATTATATTCGTATACAAAATATATTATATTTTATTATATTACAACTTATTTTATACTTTAAATTTGTTGTATAGTATTATAGTAATTTATCATAAAACATTCAATTAAAAAAAATGTTTTGAAAAAGCCAGGGGGGGCAAATGCCCCAGCTTGCCCTCACTGCGGGCGCCTATGATAATAAATRACATAATAATACCAAACAGTTTTCAAGTCGAAATTTTAATTATTTAATGTTTGGGGTGCTGGGGTAACGTTACCCTGGCACCTGGAACTTGTAACGACGTTTTCCGGGGCACCGATATGGTTACAAMATTTTTTTTGCGGTTACAAAATGTTACATAATACCAAACAGTTTTAAAGTCGAAATTTTGACCTTGGGTGCCAGGGTAACACACCTTGCAACTGTGCCCCGAGATCCATATTAGTGAAATTTTGATTCCTGTTTGATATGCTAGTCTAGTTTTTTGCAGTATAAGTTTTGCTTTCGCTAAATAATATCAACAAAAAAAATCCCCGTTTTAAGTAGTGTCAATGGACGCACCCTTTAGTCAAGCCTCCAAATCTAGTAAAAAAATTTCATATTGACTTATTGTTTTATTTATATTACAGATTGTAAATTTATTTATATTATAAAAAAAAAACTTTTGCTATATCGTAGTGTTGAAGGAGTTTTTGAGGCTCATGATTGAGGAAAGTGAGTCTGACAGGATTAGATTGCTCTTGTGGTCTATAGTATCTATAGCTAGGTATGATAAACGTTAAAATGAATGAAATTTGTCTGATTTAAAATTAAATCGTTCTGTGCATGTAATGTCATAATGCAAAAGACAAAAGTTCGATTTGTTTCTGTTTATTTTTAATTACATCTGCAGTAGGTACTTAATCCAGACATTTTTTTACCACTTAGCATTAAAACTAGGGTTATAGCTTAATATGGATTATAATACAGTACCTAATTAAAAATTTTATGCACCTACTTTAATTTAAATTATACATGGGAAAAATGCATATTGTCTAATAAATAATAATACATTACCTAGTATTATATATACGTATTATTACTGTATAACGCCTGTATAGAAATGTGTACTATATAATAGTATGATTTAGGATGCTACAGGTACCTACGTGAACTTTAATTGTCTCATTGTGAACTGAAAAATGGGGAGAACATCTATTATTATAGTAAAACGCGTGGAGCGTTCAAAGAGTTCAGAAATGTTGTGTTTATACCTACATTATTATTATGCATATATTTTGCAAAATTATTATACTCTGCAAAATATAAGTGCTCTTAATTTTTTTCCCGTTTTGTAAACGAAGTATCACGCTGTTTAAATATAGGTTTAGAGATTTTTATGTTGACTTTAATGGCCGAAAAATCAATACAGTTAGTGCCTATACAATATATATAACACATATATATACCTATATTATATATGCAGAAACAATATCGATTGGTATAGATACAAAACGCACGCATATATGTATTTGTGAATCTCCTAGTAGCTGCAGTGGTGGCGCTAATTAGTAATTAATGTCAAATTTTTTTTTTTATTGTTTTCAAGGTATCTCAAACACGTTTATTTTACAATCGCCAGCGCGCGCGCGTATATTCATAATCATAATGCATGTGAATATAATATGTACGCATAAATAATGATGATGGCCAGTAGGGGGCAAAAAGGGCAACTGGTATKATGTATACATATAGGTACTGTCAGTTGCGAATGAAAACAAGTGGCGAGCGCTTCTAAAAAAAAATAATAATATTGAATAAAAACTTATTCAAAATAATATATGTGAATAATCTTAAATATAGTACAGTTTTATAGTTCGCGTTAAATCGTGTTCAGGGCTCGATCGAATATTGTTGGTTCTTCGTACAATTGCAGTTCCTGCATCGTATAAAATATATTACATTCTGATTAATAACCTACGATTACCTATACCTACACGAATTGTGATCTAATTACGTATGTGTCGTTAAAAAAAAAAAAAACAAACTGTTACAGTTCCAATAATATTGTATTTGCAACTGCAGCCTATATTTCAACTTGTCAGTATAAATATTGTACTATATAATATATATGTATACCCAGATTGGTATTTTATTTATCATCGAAATTGTCGGTTATCTCGAGTGTCGCCACCGCCTCTATTGCCGCCGTCGTTCGCGACTTTATACTTCCTACTTCTTGGCTCTTATAACGTTTCATACCAACCCACTTCTATATTATAGATATCTACCTAAAATACACCGTCAACCCATCGCGGTTTACAACTACGCGACCTAAGTATAGGTAATAATTACTATAATCCTTTGAACGATCATCGCCACCGCCTCCGCCGTCATGTTGTTCGTCGCCTTGGTAGAATTCGTCATGGTGTCCGTCTGCATGTTCGCGTCCAGCGCTGGCGTGGCGATTGCCGTTGTCGCCATCATCGCGTACACAGTGTACGGCAAGCTCAACAGGTGAGTACTATTTTGAACCGCTCTCGTTATATGAAATKCATTATGTGATTTGTGTGTGTGTGYGGCAGGGGGGAGGGGTAGATTTTTTAAACACCTACTTTTTGTGAAATTATGWATTGAATTTATCGCGTGTCTCAAGAAATAGGGTACAATTTACTACTTTATCACTCATTACCTTTTAAATATTTTTCGATTCTATTTGTGGGACTAATCAATCATAAATTCTTAAAACTCGTTTATTTTGCATACGCGCAACAAAACTTTATATTTTTTAAATGGCAACCCCTATTTAAATATCATTTTTGGATT